TAGACACACCCAAACAGCCCCCTTTCTACAGGGGACTAGCACCGGGTAGAGCAGGCTGTGGATGGGGAACATCAAGAGTCTTTCAAAAAATGTTCGGGAAAAAACCTAGGCAAGGTGACTGAGGGCCTGTGAGCAGAAGAGTGACCCGGAGAACCTCCCAGAAGCCCTCCCATCTGGTACCGTGCTTGGCAGCAGTCTTCCCAGGATATGGCCGTGTTCCTTGAAGTTTAAAGCGCCCCCACTAGGGCCAGGTTAAAAATGCACCCACACGGAAATGCATAACCCAAGGTTGAGAAGCAACCTTGATGCTGAGCAAAAAGGGCCTCAGGAAAATAACGCAAGTAGCCATGTTTTTTGTACGTGAACACGAGGGAAGCAGGACACCCTCTGTTCCACCCTGAAGTAGCCCTTTCTCCTGGCAGGGGTCTGCTCCAGGAACCTAGATTTCTGGCACCTGCCAAAAGTCCCAGGCGTCCCTGGACCCCTCCAGATGTGCTATGTAAGTCAGTTTGGAAGACTAGGCGAAGCCATTAACAAGGCCCCTCCGTGCCCAGAAGGGTCAGATGCAGACTGGAAGTCCGGCTCGGCCTTGCACCGGGAAGGAAGATGGCCTGCCTTCCACCATGGCCCTCTGTCTAAGGGTTAAGGAGAGTCCCTGTACTTGCCTGGGGCTTCCGGTGCAAACAGAACCGCGTGAGAGCGAGCTGAGCTCTGACACAGGACATTCGTTGCTTTAAAACCTTTCCCAGCGCTGTGCTTGTTCTCTGACTCCGTTTTCAGTCTCTTGGCCCAGGTTGTTTAGTTTTTCAAGACAGGATTTCTCTGTGTAGCCCTGGCATTCCTGGAACTCGCTCTGTAGCCCAGGCTGGCTTCTAACTCAGAGGTTTGCCTGAGGCATGTGTCCCACCACCTTCCAGCCTCTGTCCGAGCTCTTTACCCATCTAGATCTCTTTGTGGTGACTTGCTGATCTGGAGGCTGTCATTCGGCCCCTCCAGGAGCTGCTTCTGAAAACTCCGAGGTGACCTTTCTGACCGAGCCCAGCAACAACAGGGTCATCAGCATTTTCCTTGGGGTCCCAAGTGAAGTTCCTCGTCCTGGGTCGAAAACTATTTCTGTAGTAAGAGAATCCCAGTTCCAATGTTTCCCATTCCCCATCTCCCATCGCAAGGTCATCTGCAATGTTTTTATATTGGCATTGCTTTCTTTGGGTCTTTGTAGGCTGTGTAGCCGAGACTATATTTGACTCTCAATCTTCCTGCCTGAGCATCCCCAGTACTAGGATTGCAGACCATGTATCCAGTATCTAGTGTCTTCTGGGTGCTGAAAAGAGGAAGACTGATGTAGTGTATGCAGTGAATATGTTTCATTACCACTGGTTAATGAAGAAGCTGCTTTGGCCTACAGCAGGGCAGAATATGGTCAGGCTGAAAGAGATATATAGAGTAAGCAGAGTCAGAGAGATGCCATGTAGCTGCCAAAGGAGACCAATACCAGAACTTTACCCTGTAAACCACAGCCTTGTGGCGATACACAGATCAATAGAAATAGGATAATTTAAGAAGTAAGAGTAAGTTAATAAGAAGCCTGAGCTAATCGGCCCAGCAGTGTTGTAATTAATATAGTGTCTGTGTGATTGTTAGGGTCTGGGTGGCCGGGGAGAAAAAAGAGCAGTCTCTGTTTAAAAAATGGTGCCCAACATCTGGGGCATGGATTCATAAAAGACTTTAAAAAGAAAAAAAAAAGCTTAAGAAAAAAATATACTTTTAGGCAAGCAAAAAAAAAAAGGGAGTCAATTGGAGCTTCTTAGTAGCCACATTTTTTTTCAGATAGGCTCTGTTTGATGGTGGTGAGCAGAGGCACGGCTCCTTTAAAAGAAAGATTCTTGGGGGCTGGAGAGATGGCTCAGAGGTTCTTCCAAAGGTCTTGAGTTCAATTCCTAGCAACCATATGGTGGCTCACAACCATCTGTAATGGGGTCTGGTGCCCTCTACTGGCCTGCAGACATACATGGAAGGAATGCTGTATACATAATAAATAAATAAATAAATAAATATTTTTTAAAAAAAAGAAAGAAAGATTCTTGACTCAGCATTAGCAGCAAGAACTGCAGGCTTCTTCAAGAGATGACTTCCTGCCTCATGCTGGCAGTACTAACTCTGGCTCTTATAGGAGGTCCTGCACTTAAATGGGGTTTGTGAGCAGCATGCTACTAATTGCTTAATAGTGACACAGACCCGCTGCGTCCCTGGAGCTGGGGCCATGTGCATGGCTCACAGAGGCAGTAAACATGCCTCCATGATGTTGGATGCGGCACAACCAACAAGCAGGGCCACGGAGTTGATCCTAGCCACACTGCTTAGAATTTCAAGAAGCACTCCTGGTCAGAAAATGATTACAGATACACAATAAAACAGATTCAGACCAAAGAGAGAGGGGCGGGGGGAGTACAGTCATAGATTAAAGGAGTAATAAATATTAAAAAGTAGAAGAGTAAAAAAAAAGCCACATAAAATAGAGTCTGGATTATGTATACTATTGTATTTTCTTTGAATTTCTTGACTGTGAATGAGCTAAGTACAGAAAGACATTTTATTGTATGGGCTGCTAAGCTACACCAACATATATATTTTAAAAGTATCTTGACTTCAAAATTTGAGTCTAAGGATATGTTACTTTGGAAAAGAGGTTCCGTTTTTGTTTCCACAGAGAATGGGAACCTGAGATTCCTTCCAGGCTAATGTGGTTTGATGGAACAAGACCCCTCCAAAAGGTTTTTGTGAACCCTAAAGATAGTTTGCCCAACAAACAGCAGGAAGCAGTTTGGAGAAAACAATGCCCAAATTCCCAAAATTGTTGTTTATAAATGTTTGCTTTCCTTTAAAGGGGGATATGATATAGAGATGAATACATTAGTATGGACTTTGGTTTACTGATACAAATTTAAGGTTGATTTTGTTACACTGTGCATATGTATTTCTGCTTTTAAGGTATCATGTTTGTGCAGCTCATTTTAAAATGTAATATATAGTTAAAATACAGATTAATAGTCATCTACAATAGTCAAACTTGAAGTCAAATTAGTTAAGTTTTCTAGATATATAGATGTATTTCAGCTAGATATTTTTCAAACCTTTCAAAGATCTACAGCATATGGCATTTAAAATGTTTTAAGAATTTTTCTTAATAGTGAGACATGTCTGCTTCTGGCAGCACCAATTCTGAGAGGATGATAAGCACTGAAAAAAACTCATATGGAATTTGCCTTCAGTGTGACACGGCTGGCCATTTGGGCAAAAAATGGCTCTTGCCTGAACTGCTTGATGGTATTCTGTATACACTGGACATGCAGGACCCACAGAAAAATGACTGCTGAACTTGTCTAAAGGTGAGACAGTCCTTCGGAATTCCTGCTTCATAAAAGTCTGCCATTCTACAGGACACAGAAGACAGTAGCTGACAAACTGCCAATATTGGCAAAACAGTCTTTCAAATTCCTGCTTCATGGGAAAGTGTGCCCACTACTACAGGCCTGTAGGTTGAATATGGATGCCCCAACATTACAGAAGAACTTTGGGACACTGTCCAGGCAGCAAGATGTCTCTGTTGATTTTAGAGTTTTGGAAGTTGCTTACAATGCACTTCCTGTTTGCATGCTTCTGGGGTCTCTGCTGGAGTTAAAGGCAGATAGTTATGGTTTTGTTTGGTTATGATAAAAGATAATTAGATAGTTATGGTTTTGTTTGGTTATGATAAAAGATAATTAGATAGTTATGGTTTTGCTTGGTTATGATAAAAGATAAATTAGATATGATAAAAGGTAAATTAGATAGGCTCACAAAGAAATATTGTAACTATAATTCTTGCTTGATGTCTTATTATATGTAATTTTACTGTTAGAACCTTCCTTTTAATTTAGACAGAAAAGGGGAGATGATGTGAGATTTCCCTCTATATGCTATGAGTATGTTTTTCTACCATCAATTAATAAAGAAGCTGCTTTGGCTGATGGCAGAGCAGAATAAAGTCAGGTGGCAAATCCTAACAGAGATCGAGAGAGAGAATAGGCAGAGTCAGAGAGATGCCATGTAGCTGCCACAGGAGAAAGATGCCTAGAACTTTACCCAGTAAGTCACAGCCTTGAGGCAATACACAGATGAATAGAAATGGATTAAGATATAAGAGCTAGCTAGAAATATACTTGAGCCATTGCCCAAAGAATATTGCAATTAATAGTTTCTTTTTCTTATTTTTATTGATCTCTACATTTTTCTCTGCTCCCCTCCCTGCCCACCACCTTCAACCCTCTTCCAAGGTCCCCATGCTCTCAATTTACCCAGGAGATCATGGTTTTTTTCTACTTCCATGTAGATTAGATCTATGTAAGTCTCCCTTAGAGTCTGCATTGTTTTCTAGGTTCTCTGGGATTGTGATTTGTAGGCTGGTTTTCTTTGCTTTATGTTTAAAAAACACCTATGAGTGCGTAAATATGATAATTGTCTTTCTGAGTCTGGGTTATCTCATTCAAAATGATGTTTTCTATCTCCATCCATTTGTCTACAAATTTCAAGATGTCATTATTTTTTTCTGCTATGTAGTACTCCATTGTGTAAATATACCACATTTTCCTTATCCATTCTTTGGTCACAATCAATAGTTTCTATGTGATTATTTGGGTCTGGGCAGCTGGAAAATGAATGAGCAGTCTCCACTTACAGAAGATACTATGCTCTCCCCCACCACCCATCTTCCTCTAAATAATCGGCTAGAGTGGTCATAGGGGTGGGAAACCTTCCCTGGTGGGAAACAGCAGAATCCTGGGTCCCATCACAGAACTGAATCTGGGTACAGAAGCATTTTTCCTGTCCCTGGATTTGGTGGCAAAGTGACTTTCCTGTGCTTTCAGGTGTTAGGGCCAAGTTGGACAGGAGGCTCAGTCTGCCTCTAAGGCTGCTCCCCAGGGACGCCCAAAAGACGCACGCAAGACACACACTTTGTTTTTCCTTCCTTTAATCTTAAGTAAAAGAGACACGGGGGATTCAAAAATAAAAATTTCTTTCCCCATTCCCAAGCCTGTACCCAGCACCCCCAGTGCCACCCTTCCCCTCCCCAAGAGAAGCAGGAATGGAGGTCCAGGTTATTTGTAGCTGGAAGGGAGGCTGGGAGGCTTCTGAGCTCAGTGTTGGTCTCTTTCCAAATATAAATACATGTGTCAAAAGTGGGAAATCCTCCCTACCCATAACCCAAGCACCCTCCGTTTCTGCCGGTGTTTGGGGTAGGGGAGCCAGGCACCAACTAGCTGTGGTTTTACTGCACGCTGTGGGCGTGAGCCCCGCCGGCCTCCTGCTGCTCATTGTAGAAGAGATGGCACTCGGGGTCTCCTCGAATGGTGGGGGCTCCCTGGATCAGCTTCCCGGTATTGGGGTTCACGCACCAGCACTCCCCACGTTGTCCATTCAGAGACATCTTGCACTGCGAAGTGAGAAGAGTCAAAGGTGAAGATTACCACCTCCCCTTTCCCTGTACCCGGCCCAGAGCTGGCCAGTTCCCAGGTGCGGGGCTACTGAACGGGAATCTTGTTCTGCTCTAAGTGAGCACTAGCAAGCTTGTCACTGTGCAGATTCCTGTACAGGTGACCCGAAAACGCTCCAGGGCCAACAGTGGAAGGACGCTGATACTATTGGCCCACACGCTCTGCCCGTCACCAGGGCTGTTGGAGACACTAAGATCAAGAAATGCCTCAGCTCCCGTGGGAGACCCAGAATAGAGTGTAGCCATGGTGTGAGAGGAAAACCCTCATAACCTGGTGGAGTGTGTGCCGGGCGCTGCGCGAGCAAGATATCGCACCCACCAACAGTCTCACGTCTAGAGTGACATCCACAGTCACATAATCCTCATGACCACTTTGTGTATCGGGCACCATTAACGTCCCCACTTTGCAGCCATGAAACTGCAGCAAAGATTGGTTCAGCGACTTGTTCCCAGCTCCTAAGGAGAGAGCTGAGACCTGAACTTGGGGTGTTCCGACCCAGGGTGTCTGATCTTGTCATATAAACTTCAGTAATCACTGTTGTAAATGTGTTTAGGGGCTCATGGGGTAAAGCAGAACATCTGTTGCTCGTTAGAAGTGTTCATTATTTCTTCCACATGCCAACTAATGCAATTAGCTTACACTTGGTGGGAAAAGCATACAAACAGCTCCTAACGCTGGTATCACATGGGGCTTGCAGGGGCGGGGGGGGGGGGGCGAGATGCCTTTGTTGAGGGAGCAAGACCCAAAGCAGAAGAGCAGATTCTTGTACCCCAGCGGCTGGTTCCACACATCCATTCCTTAAGTGAACTCTGACTGGCAATTAGGATGACCACGAGAGTTCTGTCTCTAACAGACCCAAATCTCTCACATTATACCCTGGCATCTAAATTTTTCCAAGCTGCCCGGACAATCCCACATGCACTCAAGTCTATCGTGGTCTGCCTAACAGTTCAGTCCCCCCTCCCACCACACCCCTACTCCTGCCAACCACATCCCTGCCCCATCCCTTCTCCTTCTTAAAGGAGGTTGTGAGGCGGAGGAGAAAGTGAGGGGTGGACCACCTAAAAGGACATATACATACGGAGAAGCAAGAGGGCAAAGGATCCTGGGAGTTTACTTCAACTTCCTTAACCCTTGCTAATAAACAGACTGCTGTGTTTAGGAGATTCTCAGCACGTGATCCCCAATTTCCTATCTCTTGAGATAACCAGGTATCAGAGAGGTCACCTGGCCAACGGCTAAATTGGGGATTCCAAGAATACGGTTCATGTTCCATTAACAACACATGGCAGCATCTTAAAAATGCAAGCCCTAGATTCCTACCCAACCTATTAAGTGACGGCCTCTGGAGGGGCCAGGGGTCAGCTCTCGGGAAAAGCTGAAGCGCAAGGCCTGGGACCTACTTCCTTGGCTTCTCCAGGGTACTCCTTCCCAACAGACACAACGTGCAGACAGAAAGCAGCTGAGAGAGAGGAGAGGGCCCTGGCCTGCCCGAGGCCAAGGGCGGAAGCCTCCTAGCGCTCATGCCTCGTTCCTTTGGTTACAGAAGTCTGCATCCCGGCTCAACGTTGGCTCAGCCTCCGAGATCACAAGCAGGCAGAACAAGAGCGCAGAGCTGAGCGAGGGCCTCCCGGCCGAAGCTGCACCCACACTCACCTGTTTAAGGTTGTACAGGCCGTGCTTGTCACAGTTGGGGATGTGCAGGGAGTAGAGGTGCTCCAGGGGGCCCCGATCATCCGGAAGGCGCATAGTGGAAATGCGTTCCAGGACTTGGTCCAGCTCCTGCTGGCAAGGGGTCTAAAGGCAAAATGGACACCTGGGGTGAGAAGAAGGAGCCCAAGAAACACTAGCACTAGACAAGGTCTACAGACTCCCTCAACACCAAACAGCTAGTAGGGCAGCATCTGTGGCAGCCAAGCCCACTGTGCCAGCCTACCCATCCAGAAAGTCCCATGGCTGTGGACATCTGAGTCTTATAACCCCGGCAACAGCTTCAATGAGTCAAAGTGGGCTCTCGTTGAAAGATTAGAATTTACATCTCAAGTCATAGCCCAGTCCAGCTCAGACATTGTCCCTAGACAATTTATACCTCAACCCGATTTAATTACTGTCCCTGAAGTCGAGACTCTAACCACTGGACCAAGCTCCATTCCCTAACATGACCTAACCAGGGTCATTTGCCCAGATAGTAAAGCTGGTCTGGGAAGAAGCTCGTCACGACCCAGGAGAAGCAGGCTTTGTCTGCGCTCCTGGATATTTCCCTGCCAGTGTTCCAAAGTCAGACACATGAAGAAGGTTTTAGGAGAGATTTTCAGATACCATTTTAGAGACAGACATGCCATGTGGCTCAGAGGTCATCAAATATGATGATATTGTTAGGTTTTTGTGTGTTCATTCGTGGTGGAGCGTATGGGACATGGAGTAATAGCCTTCCCAAGTGTGACGTATTCCCCCTTTCCAAACCCTCTTCCCTCCAGCAGACCCCAGTCTTCCACTGACCCTGGCAGGAGGTGGCCGCAGCTTCTTGGGCTCCTCCAGGCTGAGGTGGTGTTTGCCGCCTTTACCCATCTGCCGGTGCTGTTCGGTGACCTTCTCCCGGAACACAGCTAGCTCCTTCATGCCTGACTTGAGGGGCTTCCGGCCAGCACTGCTTCCGCCTCCCAGCATGTTCATGGTCCCATCCACGTGATTCTCCACCAGGCCCCTCTCAGGGTGGTCATCACCATTATCTGTGGAGAAGAGAGAAGGCACTTCCAGATTCAGCTTCCCAAAGAGAGGGGGCTTGCGGAACCCTAACCTCTAGGAGGGTGGCTGTACCAATGAGGGAGAAGACTTAACAACAATGTCCAGGGCCATGCTCCCTCCACAACTTAGCTGGATTATCCATTTCCGTCTCAAAATAACTCTTTCGGAAATATCATGGATTGGATACAAAATGCTCCCCCCACAGACTTGTGTGTTTGAACTGTCGGTCCCCAGGTGGTGGCAGTGTTGAGGGAGGTTGTGGAGCCAGGCTGGGAGAGGGGAGTTGAGGGTGGAACTTTGAGGGTTATGGTCCACCCTGCTTCCAGGTCCAGTCTGCTTTCTGCTTCAGACTGAGATATGCCAAGCCGCCACCACCCCACTGGCACTGCTTGCCTCTTGATGGTGGGTGAAATCCTCTGAAACCATCACCTTAACTAATGCATTCCTCCCCAGAAGCTGCTTCTGTGGGGCATCTGAGCGCAGTGATGAATAGATGGGGGTTCCAGTGGTGTCCCCCATCCTTCACACACAACATGGCGCTCAGAGGCCACGTGATTGGCCACGATTGAACTCAAGCTGTATGATGCCAGAGAAATGGGAGCACCATCCCCAGTTCTGCCCTCATCCTCCGAAGCTGGGACACAGGCGCACAGAAGGATGAAGACAGCCACAGAACTCAACACAGAATGGACACAGGCCATCCCTGGGTTCATTAGAATCTACCGGACTCACCCACAACCACCCCAAGTTTAAGTTCTCCTTCATTTATGGTCTGAACAGAACAGTCTGGACAGGGCTGAGGTTTTAAAAATTCCTCCCATAAGCACCCTGGGCCATTGCAGAGCTAGCAAGGGAGAAGTAAAAGGCAGACAGCCACTTGCCAGTGAGAACCAGGCCCATCACTCTTTGTTTGCTCGCCCCTCCATAGTCTTTGGCTCCTAGGCTCCTCCTACACAGCTATGGTACTAATCCCACTGGCTCTTATTCTGTTAGGACATCTACCTGTGTGTCGCACCCCATCACCCTGAGAGGCCCCAGTACAGGACCTATGCATGACAGCTTTGACTCTGTAAATGTAGCATTTCATGAGGCATGAGACCAAATCAAGCTGCCTGCTGTGGAGTGGCCGTTCGGTCTCCTCAGGCTGTCTTAGAACCTACTGCACACAGAGGACTCTAGAAGCAGCTCCTAGACGGCTGATTCATGTCTTTCCAAGGTAAAATGACAGAATGGGAATTGTGGGGTCAGGTCTGCAACCAGGGGGGGATGCACCGTCAGTCCGGCCACAGCCCACAAGTCCCAGTAAAATCTAGGTGTTTGCACAATGGGTGTTTTTCAACAAATCTTGCATCACTATGCCCGGCTTTTAATTCTCTATCCCCAAATGAGATAACTCTTCTACAGAAACATTGAGGCAAGGTACATAGCTCCCAGAGAACCAGTATAGCATTCCCCCTCTGAGGCAGTACTACAAGTTGGAAAGAGACAGAATTGACTGCAAAAGGCAAGGCATACTGCCGTATTTGAGTCATTAGAAACTAGACAGCACTCAGTAAGGGACGATGCAGCTCTTCCCTGCCAGGGACAGTACTGGGTACCAGTGCTCAAAGCTGCACCTGCTGCTGAGGTAGGTGCCTTAGCATCCAAAAGCAACCAGTAGGGGTTTGTTCCACACCATCCCTTCACACGGGGTAGAGCTAACCCCCCTCCACCCCACCTCCATCCACAGCCATACCAGCCCACAGCTCCACAGAAAAGAGCACAGGGTTTTCCCAGGGCATCCGGGGCACTAAGCTTGCGGACCTATTGTGTCCACACCCTCCTGGGCATTTAAACCACAGATAGTAGCTGAAGAATCCCTTGACTGAATCTCCAAGGCCAGGCCAACACTGAATGCCCAGAACACCCTATGGAGACAAATTTGCAAAGAGAGGGGTAGTCTCAAATGCTAGTTACTCAGGTCTAGAGTCAGGCAGGGAAAACTTGTCCATTAGACATAGTAGAGACAGGAGACAGATGCCTAGAAAATGTTTTTGTTCATATTAAGTCAGAAGAAGAAAAAAATTACTTTTTAAGTCAAAAAGTCTTAAGGTAAAATACTGATATACTTGCAATTATAAGGTCAGATGCTATCAGCTTAAAATGTTTTTATGGAAGGGTCCCCAAAGGTGAAAAGGCCTAAGGTTCGTGCAGCATCCTAATGTAATCCTTGCTGGATCCAGGCCCCAGAAGAGCAGGGTCAGCTGGGCAGCGCTCTCCCAGGAGGCTAGCTGGCTTCCTGTCCTGAGAGGTCCCCAGCCTCCCCAAGGTGAAAGCCAGTTTGTCCCTCCTCACAGAGGCCATCTGGATTCAAGGGTATGTTTCGTACTCTCCCTTTATTGATCTCACCACGACCAGCAAACATGCCAATAAGATGGGGAAACCCACAGGCATGGCTTGTTGACACAGGCCCCTTTAGAGGCCGCAGGACATCCATTTCTTTCTCTGGAAGAGTTTCCCGGACCCAAGTAAATACATCAGGAAGCAGGAGCCTAGGGAAGAGGAGTGAAAGGCTGGCCAAGTAGAAAGCAAAATAACAATAGGCTGAGAAAGGCCTTGTGCCTTCTTATCATCCTTGGCCAAAGAGGTTCAAGGGTTCAAGGCCAAGGTCTGATTGACTAAGTCCATCTTTTCCACTCAGCACCGACGCCCTGAACAAATAACGTAGGCTCTCTGTGCCTCCACTGATAATCTGTAAAAAGAAAGCGATTGGCTTCCAGCTTCTCGATCTTTCTAGAAAGATTCCCAAGAGCTGTTTATGTTGCGTACAGAGTGGAGCATGATGGGAGCATATGGGTGAACTCATAGATGTTATTTCCAGATTGGCCCCCACGTCACCTGAACAAGCATCCCTCACCCATACATTTTCTTATGTATGGCTACAGAAGTGACCCATGGGGAAAACATTCCAAATAGGGAATTTCAGCTAGAGACGGAATGTTGTCTCAGAACAAAAATACCAAGTTGCATTCTTTTCTGCCTAAGAGAGTTAGAACCCAAGCAGTATTCATTAAGCAACCACTTATATGTGCAGCTAACCAGGCTATGTACAGAGGCCACTACAGGAAACATAACCATCCCAAAGATCTAGGTGGAAAAGGTTTCAGGCTTTGGGGTAACCAGTAGGGACTTGAGACATCTCCCTACTGGTTGGTAAACATCGGCTGTTCTCTCCAACACAGCAACTGAGGAAAGAGGTCTACACGGAAGCATGAAATCTCACAGTTATAATAATATACAAAAAGTAAAGCTTTTCCAAAAAGGCGAGAAGTAGGCAATGGAATAAAGAAAGTCAGAGTCCCACTGCTCCCCTTGGAAATCCATGGTTCATGATCTGTGGGAAATTCTAAAGTGTTATTAGCAAAACAAACCCCAAGAACCTAAAAGTAATCCCTCCAGGGTTCTTGTTCTGAATACTTGGCCCTGGTCCTTACCTTCAAGCCGTCACTGTCTTCCTAAGAGACCAATCAGTCTTCCGCTTTCCTGCCTTGTATATTTATTCTAAACAACTTCCCAGCCTTCTGCCTCATGATGATCTCAAGCCCTGGGAGCTCAGGCACCACTGAGGTGAAGACTCCTAGTCTTCAACAGGTGCAGGCCTTCCAGACCCAATTCAAGAACTGCTTCTGCCCATCAGAGCACACGAACTGAGTGCTGGTTGCTTTCCTAACTCTGCCCTGGCTGGACACAAAATCCGCATGGCCCCTCTGCTGTCGGTCTCTCCCACAGTGCACCTAACCCAGACATACGCTAGCCCTCTTCCTCTTCTTCCTCCACAGACAACTTCTCTACGAATAGCCATGGGAACAGACAATTCATTATCAGACTCCAATGGGCAAAGCACCCCAAGAACCAGCCAATTGAATTCTGGACTATGAGGCATTGTTCTTCCGTTGTTTGGGTTGACCTCGCAATTCCCATCAGGGCAGTGGGAATAATGGCTACGATCTAACATGATAGCATTTTATTACTCTCCTCATTCAAACTTTCATCATGGAAAAAAAAAATCAAGCTTTATACAAGATAGATTGATAATCTGTCTCTTGAATGCATAAATGTTAAGATTGTCTGCCCTGTAGGGGGAAAGTAGCTTATATCTAATAACAGAAAAATCAAATGCATGGAAAACACTAATTAGAAGACAGTTCCCAATATTCTCACTGTAATGTTTCTCCATTTTTAAGATGTTATTATTCATTTCACTTTATGTACACGGATTTTTTTGCCCGCATGTATGTCAGTACACCATGTGAATGTATTATCTGCAGATGCCAGAAAAGGGTTTCAGATGTCCCTGGAATTGGAGTCACAGATTGTTGTGAGCCATAATGTGGGTGCCTGGATCCAACCTGGGTCCTCCGTGAGAGCAGCAAACACTCTTAACTCTCTAGCCTGCTCAGTTTGAATGGGGGCGGGGGAGGGTGCTATTCTGTTTCCTGTTTTTCATTTTTCACTTTTTGCAGTTTTGGGACCAGCACACACTGCAGGAAGAAAGAGGGGTCTATTTGTTTGCCTTATATACATATGTTTGCTTGTTTTCAATGAGACTCTGGCATGGGGTTAGGTGCATTGTGGGAGAGACCGACAGCAGAGGGGCCATGCGGATTTTGTGCCCAGCCAGGGCAGAGTTAGGAAAGCAACCAGCACTCAGTTCGTGTGCTCTGATGGGCAGAAGCAGTTCTTGAATTGGGTCTGGAAGGCCTGCACCTGTTGAAGACTGGGAGTCTTCACCTCAGTGGTGCCTGAGTTCCCAGGGCTTGAGATCTGTTTCCTTGTACACATAGGAAACAGACTGTGTCAGTGAAAACTGCAAGTCACTCCCTTTGAACGGCTGATCACTACCACTACACTCACCTTCATGGCAACTGCTCCCTAGCACATGCTACAGGGTGTAAGGCAGCCAGAAGAAAGGGAGTCCCGTTTGTTGATTTAGTTCATATTTAAC